AGAGATCACAAGTAGGCAGAGAGGCAGGCAGAGAGAGAGGGGGAAGCAGGCTCCCTGCTGAGCAGAGAGCCCAATGTGGGGCTCGATCCCAGGACCCTGAGATCATGACCTGAGCCGAAGGCAGAGGCTTTAACCCACTGAGCCACCCAGGCGCCCCGTGAATGAATTCTTTTACTCGTTTTCCTTTTCCACATTTTTGCTCAGGCAAACGGCCATTTGTCCTCCTCCTGCTTGTTAACGTGCAAATTCAGCTAAAGGTTACTTCTTATTTCTAACACTTAGAATTATTCTGTAGACACAGGATAAGAACCGTCATGCCCCCAAGGTTCTTTCTGCCCCCACAGCTCCCCACCCCACCCCAGTAAGAGCCACCCCAAGAAGGTTCCCCACCCTAGTAGCTTTCCCTTCTACCCCCAACTCTCCCACACCCAGAGACCCCACAGACTCAGAGCTCTTCCCTGTCCTCCTCACCTCTACCCCCTCCTGCGGGTCTCTACTCTGATCAAGTGCCATTTGCTTGCTGCCTTTCTGGGTTATTTTTCTCGGAGGGAACATATACAGCAATGAATAGTCTCCGAATTCCCGCTTCTCTGCAAAATTTATTTTGTTAACACTGTTGGGGAGCCACGGTCCTGTGCTCTGGTGACGCTCTCAGCCCGAGGCCAACATCCCAGAATCTTCTGGCTCCTGGTTTCCGCTGAGAAACCTGTTGCCGGTGCATTTCTTCTCCTTGCCAGTAACATACGCGTTCTACCAGGAAGCCTCTGAGATTCTGTCTGTAGATTTCAGGAATGTCATTGAGATGCCAAGGGTGTGTCTTCCTTTTTTTTCTTTTTTTAAAGTAACCCTGCCTGGTACCATACCAGCACTTTCACTCTGAAGACTCAGGCCTTTTTCTTATCACAGAAAATTTCCACTCTTACGTATTCATCCTTCTCCTTCTGGAACCCCTAACATTCACAGCAAGACGAAAAGGCATCCCCAAGGCATCTTGTCCCTTGAGACTTCTATACCTGCGTCTCTAGTCTTTTGAGACGCACTTTGTTTCTATCTTTTGCAAGCCACCTTCTTTTTCCTGTCGTGTTGTGAATTTTCTAAATTTGAACAGCCTAGTTCTAGAATTTACTTTCTGGGGCTGTAACTGATGTCCTGGGGTTTTGGAAACCTGACACTTGGCTGGGGTGTGCTGTTTGGCCTTGATTCTCTCTCCAGCTGTGGGCCCCTCTAGCCCTTCATGCCCTCCCTGGTCACCCAGGCCTAGCTGTGGGGTCCCCAAGAACCACACACATAAAATGCTGGAGGTCCCCTTCCCATGAATGGACCCTCCTGCCTCTGGCCCCAGACCCGCTCAAGTTCTAGACCAGCCTTCGTCAGCTTCTGGAATGGGAGGGGTGACCCCTCACCCCACCAGGCTGGTTGGGAGGCCCCACCAAGGCCTCCCCAATGGCAGCAACTTGCATTCCTACTTTCCCCAGAGGCTCAGTTCACGGCCCTCAGGGGAGGGGCTTCGGGCCTCACCTAGGACATCCCCATTCACAGGAACAGAGAGGGCCTTGGGGCCTGCCTCCATCCCAGCCTCCAGTCCCCCAAAGCTTTGTCCTTTTAACCTCCCAAGTACCTTGAGAGCCAGGAAGCTGTGCCAGAGCAGCTCCCCAACAGGTCACTGAGGCAGCACAAGGGGACCCTTTCTTCTGCCTCCAAAGCCAGTGCCCACTGCCTTACATAAGCTGGATTCTTAGAGGCACCCATCATGGCCCCTCCAGGGTGGGAGAGGGGACCACCCTCCCCAGGCAGGGTTCCCCGCCCCACCATGGAGCTGCTCTCCCCACCTCCTCCTATCCACAGCTGGGGCATGGAGAACTCCATTCAGAGCACAGGGCAGGTGGGTAGGCTGAAGACCTGGGACTGACCCCGGGTGGGGAGTGCGGGCAGGCCTTCAGACCATCCCACCACATGAGCACCCAGATGCTGTCAGTCAAGGTGCTTGCCCCACCACCGGAGGCGAACCTTAAGTGACCCCACATTCAGCCAATCAGAGGTGACCTATTGTTCTCCCGCCCAGGAATCTGAATCTAAAGGGACCCCAGGCCACCAAAGGGAAGCACCGTCATCACCCTGCCCTGAGCCTCCAGGCCTGGAGGATCCCAAGCCGAAGGAACTGGGCAGGGGCCTTGAGGGCCCAGGGGTCCGAGGTGGGAGCACTACCTGCGCATGGTTCCCAGACAACCCCTCTATGCAGGCTAGACATGCCAGGGACCCAGAAGGCCCCAATCTTGGAGCCTGGACGAGATTTCCTAGGTGGGCCTGGTAAGGATGGACAGAAGGCATTCCAGGAGGGGACCTTTATGAGTAAGAGCCTTGAGTGACTGAACACGCGTGCCTGGGAGGATGGGTCCCCGTTCAGGCCTGGCCTTACAATGAGTAGTGCTACCCCAGACCCTGCAGCTCGCAGGGTGCTCCCAGGACACCCGGGAGAAATCAGAAGGAATCCTGCCCTTCTGGGGAAAGAATTCACACTCCTGAAGAAGTTGGGAAGCCATGGGACAGCCCACCCTCACTGAGCCATCACTTGGTGGGGGAGTGGTAGAGGAGGGCCTGGGGCCCAGCAGGAGCCGGCAGGGGCAGGTGCAGCCACAGGAGGCTAGTAGGAAAGGCAAAGTGGGGTCACAGTGGGGGGGATAGGGGAGCTGAGAGCTAGATTTGCAGAGGCTGCCCCCCCCCATATCCTGGCCTGGGCTTGGGAAAAATGTACCCATTTATGAAAAGCTCTGGGGTTTTCCCCCTTCAGCAGACTCCAGCCCCGTGGTTTCCTGAAGCCTGACTGGGTAACAGTCTAGGAAGTTCTTAAAATCTCTTCACACATGGGGCCCCTGGGTGGCTCAGTGGGTTAAGCCTCTGCCTTCAGCTCGGGTCATGATCTCTGGATCCTGGGATCGAGCCCCACGTCGGGCTCTTTGCTCGGCAGAGAGCCTGCTTCCTTCTCTCTCTCTGCCTGCCTCAATGCCTACTTGTGATCTCTCTCTGTCAAATAAATAAATAAAATCTTAAAAAAAAAAAAAAAAAAATCTCTTCACACAGATCACTTTCCTGGCACGCTCTCTTCTCTGCCAGTCTCCTCCTGCCCAGAGCAGGAAGCTCAGGCTGCAGAGGCCATTGCTAGTCCCTCCTTTGCCTCCAGGGAGCCCAGCGCCCAAACCCAGCAGATAGACAGGTGCTGGAGGAGAGAAGCCCGCCATCAGTGCAGGACCCCGCCGGGGGTGTCGCCCCCCGCAACTCTGCCGCCTCGGTGCGGAGTACCTGCACTGAAACCTGGCTCGCAATTAACACCAATCGAGTGATTTAGCTCTCCAAGTAAAAGCAGAGAAACCCCAAGGCACAACAGGGAAGCGGCCGCCCTGGTGTCCCTGGTGGCCCACAGCAGAGCCAGGACTGCACAGTGGTTGCCCCTCTCTCGGGGACACAGGCTTGGGGAGGGCCCTAGGAGCCCGGCGCGCGTGAAGAGGCCCCACACCAGAGACACGCACGCGTGAGCACAGGGGCTAGCCCACGCCGCGTGTCAGGCCCACGCCGCCACCTGGGTGGAGTCGCCCCCCAGCAGCTCACAGAGCGGCGTAGGAAGGCGCGGCGTGCCAAAGCGTGACTCGGCGCCTGGGGTCCGAACGGCACCCTTCAGGGCCCTCCAAGGCCAGCCCTCTATGGGGTCGTACTGCGGCCCCAGCCCCGCCCAGGCATCTGCGGGGTAAGAGGGTGCAGTCAACCCCAAACTTCTCCGGCCCTGGGAGGGGACCCTGGTGCGGGTGGGCGCGGGCTGGGGATGCAGGAGCCGGTGAGGCAGATGCGCCGGAGGCCTCGGGCTAGAAGCGCGCACGGGGCGGTGGGGCATCCTGCTGGGAGTCCCCGCCTTGGCCAAGCCACCGTGCTGCCCCGGCGCCCCAGACCTCTCGTCTGGACGTGCCTCGAAGAGTTTAAACGACGCGGACTGCGCGCTAGACGCCCTCCGGGCCTGCTGTCAGTTCACGCCCGCAAGAGCCCCGTGACACGAGAGCATTGTCACCCCCATTCTGCAGGCGACGAAACCCCGACCCGAGGGTGGGCCACCGGGGCCCCGGGCCCGCAGGTGAGCCGGCCTCCCACCCCGCACCGGAGCCGGCCGCCTCCTTACCCCCAGCGCATCCAGCAAGGAAGTCGAGCGCCATTGCTGGGTCTCCGGTGTGGCCGCCCTTCCTCCTCGTCCTTCTCCTCTGGCCCCTCGCCGGGCGGGTCACCGTCGGGGATCCCCCGGGCACGGGGGATTGGGGCTCGGCCTGGCCGCCGCCTCCTGGCGCGGAGCCCGGGGCCGGCCGAGGTCGGGGGGCGGCGGCGGCGGCTCAGTGCGCGGCTCCTCGGTCAGCGCACGACCCTTGCTGACCGGCTCGCTCGCCCTCGCGGCCGTCCGCCAGCAGCCGGTGGTTCCTCACCTCGGACCGCGCGCCCCGCCCCTCGCGCCTGCCGGCCGGGCCCCGCGGGATGCAGAGCGCGGCCAATGGGCGGGCGAGGAGCGGACAACACCCCGGGCCCTGCGCGCCGTCGCCGCGCCTCATTGGCTGGGCGTGTCCGGGGCGGGCGGGGTGGGGGGGACATAGCGGGCAGGGGAGGCGCACGGGCGGGGGAGGCGCACCGGGCGGGGGAGGCGCACGGGCGCCGCAGACAAAGAATGTGCTTGGTGCGCCCGCCCGCGCCGTTCCGGGCGGGAGAGGCGGCCCGGTGCGCGCGGCGGCGGGACGATGGGGCCGGGCCCGGGAGCGCGGGGTCTGAGCTCGGCCTGTGCGGGGCGGGAACCTCCCGGCGTGCGCGCGACGGGTCAGCTGAGCGGGAGGCGGGGTGTGCTCGGTCTGGACCGGGCCCGGGGATCTGGGGCCTGAGGCCAGATCCCGACTCTGCCGCCAAACCTCTGGTCCCTGCCCGTGTAATGGGGACGCGGGCGCCTAGAGCCAGGATCCTCCCAGGCTCGGACACCACTAGCTGTGATGCCCCGCGGGCGGCGAGTCGCCCCTCCGCCTGCGCTCCCGCCCGGCCCGGTACGCGGGATGTCCGGGTCCGAGCGCGCCAGCCTTCCCGGGCGGCGGGGAGGGAGCTGGAACGGGGAAGGGGGCCGTGGGGCGCCCTTCGGGGGTCCGCACCTGCCCGCGCGCTGCGGGGACGTGGGAGCCGCGAAGGGTGCAGAGCCGGGCAGGTTCCTGGATGCGCCGAGAGCCGCGCGGCGGAGAGGGGGCACCGGAAGCCTCGGGACTGGGCGAGCCGGGCGGCGGAGGAGGCGGGGGCACACGATGGGGTCAGAGGAGGAGCGGGTCCGACGCAGTCCGCCCGGGCAGAGAGTCCCTGAGATTGGCAGTGGCAAGGACCCCTGCCTGTTCAGAGACCTGTCCTTCCCTCCTTCCCTCCCCCAGCGCCTCAGGAGGCCTGGACTGTCCGGTTGGGACTAGACTTGACTGGGCACTTTCTCCTCCACAATGAGGGTGAGATAACACCTTTCCGGCCTGGGGCTCAACTTCCTTCTTCATGGCCCTGTGGTTGGGACCACACTCCCTGCGGTGTTTCCAGGTCATTGAAGATCCCACAGTTCTTTTACTCTCACTGTACCGTTTCTGAAATCGCGAGGGGGGTTACAATGGATCTGTACCCAAAGCTTTAAAGATTATGTATTTCTGGTGCTAGGGGGTATCAGCTAAGCCGTGGTCCATGGTGATCCAGAGGCCACCAGGAATCCGACAGTCACCAGTCACGTGTGGTTTCCTTTTATTCTTTAAACTCTAGACAGAGTATTCATTAAGCAGAGACCCAAACCCAGGTCTGCTGACTCCTAGTCCAGTGCTCGTGATGACTGGTGGGCCCTGAACTAGGGGTCTGGAGGCCTGGGTTTGAATATCGCCAGCCTCTGACCTCAAGGAGCCAGAAAAGCAATAACATGGGCCCCAGGAGAAGGGGGGGTGTGCTTGGGTGGCTGGAGGCCTCCAAGGCCTGACAGTTAAGCTACACCCAGGTGACTCACCCCTAGGGACACTTGTCCCCTGGTTGCCAATGCCCCTGGAGGTGGAGCACAAGGCCTGCAGCAGCTACCTCTAGTTTTGGAGGCTTGAGAAGAAAGTCGTGTACCTTAACAGGCAGTAGGTCAGAACGCTATGATGGGACAGCTGAGAAGGAAACCAGGACGATCCGACCTGCTTTGTGTGTGTGTGTGTGTGTGTGTGTGTGTGTGTGTGCAAAACATTTATTTATTTATTTTAGAGAGAGTACACAAGCAGGGGGAGGGGCAGAAGGAGAGGGAGAGAATCTCAAGCAGGCTCCGACTCCCCCCTGAGTGTGGAGTCCCACGGGGGGCTCCCTCTCACGACGCTGAGGTCATGACCTGAGCCAAAACCAAGAGCCGGATGCTTACCCAACTGTACCACCCAGGCACCCTGCTTTACATTATATTTTCATCTACATATTTAAATTATATATGTATATATTTATATGTAAATATATTTGTATATATAAATATATGTGTATATATACATATATTTTTATTTGTTATTTTTTTAAAGATTTTATTTATTTGACAGAGAGAGAGAGCACAAGTAGGCAGAGCGGCAGGCAGAGGGAGAGGGAGAAGCAGGCTCTCCACTGAGCAGAGAGCCTAATGTGAGGCTGGGTCCCAGGACCCTGGGATCATGACCTGAGCCGAAGGCAGCCGCTTAACCCACTGAGCCACCCAGGCGTCCCTTTTTTTTTCTTTTTAAAGAGAATGCACGTGCCTTGCAGTTAATGTCACGCTTGGGGCAGGTAGTATGAGCCTGGACTCCCTGGGAGTCATCAGCCTGACCTCCAGGGACTGGTGGATGTCCAGGAGAGGCCAGAAAGGGAAAACAAGGAAGTCACGGCCAAGCAAACGAGTGCGCAATGCCTGTATTTTGAAGCCTGTATGATGACATCAGCAGTCAGGTTTTGTGTCTGTTTCATTTCCTGAAGGTAAAATTAGAGCACAGAATGTGGTGGTTCAAACCCCTCACCATCCCCAGCGCCCCAGGCCCCACCTCTGTTCCTGGGGAGGCCACCTGGCAGGGCTCCTCTCAGGCCCCAGACTTAAGGGGGCAGGAGGGGCTCAAGGCCAGAGCAGTGGCAGGACAGCAAAGGAGGGAGGGAGTGTGACAGGGGACTAGGGATCAAGCCAGGTCACTGAAAAGTGCGTGGTGCAAGTTTTTACTTTGTGCGGACTTTTTTTTTTTTTTTTTTTAAGATTTTATTTATTTATTTGACAGATGGTGATCACAAGGAGGCAGAGAGGCAGGTGGAGAGAGAGGGGGAAGCAGGCTCCCCGCTGAGCAGAGAGCCCGATGTGGGGCTCGATCCCAGGACCCTGAGATCATGACCTGAGCCGAAGGCGGAGGCTTTAACCCACTGAGCCACCCAGGCGCCCCACTTTGTACGGCTTTTATAATTTCTAACACAATATGGGTCCCGTGCGGAAGAATTAGAAACACCAGCAGGAATAGAGGCAAAGAAAACTCACCTCTGTTTCTCGCCTCCCAGGAGTCACGTGGATTCAGTGACCAGAGGCTGTTTTGACCCTGGTGAAGTGGGGTGAGGAGGGCAGGGCTGTCAACTGACTCCCCATTCACTTGGGATAGAACCCACGTTCAGTGCCTCTAAGCCCAAGGTGACCTGGCGCACACCCATACTCCAAGCCCATCATCACCCCAGTGCTGTTGGACAGGCCGCTTCCTCTGCCCGGGAAGCCCTTCCCTTGCCAGGATCGCCTCCAGAACTCAGGTCCCTGTTCACTCCTCACCTCCTCACGAGGGGCTTGGTTGGCCTCCCCCATCTACCGCAGACAGCCGTCCGCCCCTCCCCACACAACTTTCAACTCCTAGGGTGACATTAATTTTCTCCTCTCTCCCACTAGAATGTGAGCTCTACCAGGGCAGGGGCCTTCTCTGTCTTCTTTATTAATCCTAAACAAGGCGGGCACACAGCAGGTACTCAATAAGTGTGCAAGCTGACAGAATCCGAGCTGTGGAAGGTGATGGACCCTGGGTGGGGGGTGAGGCCAGTGGGAGGCCCCGCCGGCCTACAGCCTGAAATGAACCTTCTCCGGGGACCTGTGTTCTGTGAAAAAGAGGTGAGGAGTGCTGGGAGTTTGGGGTGATCTTTTTTTCTAACATGTATTTTTAGAATTAAAAACTTAAGGAAAAAAGTTTCTTCCTGCTAGGCTACAGTCGGCCCTGATAAGGAGGCAGAGAGGTGCAGAAAGGGGGACATAGCTCTCCTGGCCTGGGGAGTCTGTGTGTGTGTGTGCACGTGTCCCTGCACAGCCAGATCCGTGCACCCCTGCCTGTCAGTTTTGACTCAAGAGCGGGAGTCACAGGGGCACGTGGGTGGCTCAGTTGGTGAAGCATCCGACTCGATCTCAGCTCAGGTCTTGATCTCGGGGTTGTGAGTTCAAGCCCCACATTGGGCTCCATGCTGAGCTTGGCACCTACATTAAGGAAAAAAAAAAAAAAAAAAAGCAAGGAGTCACGTTGCCAGCTCTGGCAGGGCGAGCAGGCAGCTGAGGAGCCAGACCTGGGTGAGGGGAGCGAGGCCCTGGCCCGTCCTGCTGTGGGGACCCAGCCACAGGCTCCCCATTCCAGATCTCCGGGATTGGAGTTTCCCAGGATGCTGGCTAAGACACAGCTTCCCAGACCTAAGGAATCAGACTCCGGGAGCAGCGGGTCTGGGTCTCAGAGCCTGAAGGGCTGGGGACCTGATGGGGACACCCAGCCACTGTCCTCACAAGTCCGTGGGGCCCAACGTTCTCTCGTTAGGTAGATGTGAAGTGATTGCTGGGATGGAGTCAAGCCCAGAGTCGCTGGTGTGCTGCGTGGGCGTCCAGCATCTTCATGCTGTCGGGCGTGTTGCAGCCTTCTACACGCTTGCCTCTCCGGGTGAGCCCTGGGCCTCTCTTGTGCGTGGCACCTTTCCCAACCCACTCGGCCTTAGAGTGGTCGAGAGACCGGAGCGAGGGGGGCTCTGGCCAGATGAGGAGATGACCAGAAACTCAGTATAAATAGACTCATAGCAAATGTTTCAAGGTTAAAAGCAGAGCGTACAGGGGGCCTGCCTATGGGTGCTCCCAACCCGGAGGGCCCCAGGGGTGATCCACAGTTTGGGCTGGGCCAGCCCGGCGGGACAGAGGAGCCAGGCCCGTGGCGCCCAGCTGCGTGTGGCAGACATCATGTGCCCGCCGCTCATTCAGAGGTCGCAAGGCTCGTGGGCCCCCTGGAGCCCACCCTCCAGGCTGGCGCTGGGGCCCAACATGAGCCAGCCCAGCTGTGCCCCG